TAAATGGAGTGTCACTGGACTTGATTGGTAGAGTATTAGCAAGTTCCCTAATGTTTTTTAAGAAGCAATTGGTAAAATATTTGCATTTAAAATATATAAAGTTTCAAAACTAATTTAATATAATTTATTATCTGTCTAATAATATTAGAAAATTATATTTTTTACAAATTATTATTTTTAAAAATAATTTATAAAAAATTATGTTAAATTTTAAATTATTTTTAAAAACAATATTTTAAGTTTTTCAAATACAAATAAATAATTTAAAATTAATTATGGTCATGATTTAACATAACCATAATGATTTAAAAATTAAAAAATTAACAAATTAACAAATTAAAAATTAACACCGTTTTATATCATGATTTAACAATTTAAAAATTAATTATGGTTATGAGAAGTTTACGTTCACGTGTCAATCCTATTTATCTTCCATTTTTCTCTTGCTATGTTTTTTTTTATATTTTGGTTATTACTCGATATAAATATTTATTTTGAATTTTATTCTCATTTCGTTTGTTTTAGAAAATATTTAAAATAATTAAAGAGATACATACTTAGGTTAAGATCTGCACTTTATGCACAATAAGTATTTTATATTTATTATTTATTTTATATTTTTCTACATATTATAAAAAATAAAATAATAAATATATATTAAATAACTAAGAAATCAGTTACTATTATGCAATAAATTGGCGTATGCATATAAATTTAACTATTACTCTTGTTTCTTCACAATTAGGGTGAATAAATCAAAATAATCAATCTTATATATTTTATATGATATATAATTAAATTTAAATGATATAAACATAGTAATATAACACACTTTTAATATGGATATTTATTAAATGAGGTTTCTACTCATATGATTTTACGATTATTTGCATATTTGTGTAACAAAACTTTACACCAACGAATTTTTTTTAATGTGAGATGTTTAGTAGTTTCAATAATTTATAATCATTTAAAAAAACAATGACATATTTCAAAATTAAAATATTAACTTTTCAATATATGTTCAAGGAAAATATCAAAATATAAGTATGTACTTTCATACGATGTATAGTTTAATTAAAATGATATTAAATATATATAAACTAAAATTATTTATTCATATGGTCTTATAATCATTATATTTTAGTATAAAAAAAAATTAAAACCTTGATCTTAAAAGTTTATGTGGGACTTTTAACAGTTTTAGTAATTTATACTCATTTTGAAAAATTCGAAATAAAACATACACAAAAAAAAATCTAGGTTTTCATTATATGATTAATGTAATTGTGTAATTTATTTTAATAATAACGAAATAAACTAAATGAAGAAAAGTTTACAGATTGTTATCAAATCTTTAGTGTTTAAAATCATTAATTGTCATATATATATTTTGATCACATTAGGTAATTCCGTAGGATTTATTTAAGGAAAGCATGCGAAACAATAAATATTTGATATATGCGACCAACTATAGCCTACGGAATATTATATTTCTAGAGAATATAACTTTTAAACTATACATTATATCACATGCTCTAGAATCCTTGGGATTTGAAATATAAGCCAAAGAGCTATGCCACGTAGGATTGGGGTTATTTTTAATTCTTACAAACTAAATGTTACAACTTTTTAAATGATTCTCAAATAATATATAGGGGATATGATTATGCATAAGATTGTATGAATTGTTTGGCAACTAACATTAATTAGTTTTAAGATTGTCTCATTAATTAGTTTTAAGATTGTCTCATTTAGTAAAGATTTTTCAGTTAATATATAGTATGAAATGGTCCATATATATATATATATATATATATATTCTTTTTTTTTTTATCAAAGATATGGTCCATATATATAAACTAGGTGGCTTCCTGCACTATGTGCAGAAATAAAAATTTTAAAAATAAATTTATATTTAAAATAAAATTTAACTAATTTTTAAATTTCTTCTTTTATTACATTATTAATTTTACACTAATTATATGTAAAAATTAAGAGAAAATAAACAGTTTTATTTAAATATATGACAGTTCTCTCAAATAGAACTTTTTTAGGTTTTTTCACAAAAAATAGATCTTAAAACTAAAATGACCAAAAAAACATTTTTTATTTTGAAAATTTCAATTTTTTTTAAAAGAAATTTGTAATCCTATCCCCAAAATCCCACTCCTCAACTTTAAACAAAAAGGTCTACGATTAGTTAACCCAAATGATATAAATGTATATTTACTTATTTTTGATAAAACATTTAAGTCTATCTTGGTCATTTTTATTTTAAGGTCTATATTTGTGATTAAAACTTTTTTTAGGTCTATCTTAAAACAAATTTCTTAAATTTATATTTAATAATATATGTGTATCTTTTATCTCTTGGTTAAATTATATTAAATCAGATTCTATACTATTAAAAGAAAATTTTGTTAGATATATAATTATCAAAATATACAGCTAAATAATATTTCTAAAATTTATAGATGTTATAAATAAAGCTAATGGTATTGGGTTTAGAAAATTTTAATTTTTAAAAATACTGCATAAATTTTTTTTTAAAAAAATTATTAATAAAAATATATAATTATAAAAATACACTTAAAACTATTTTAATATTTGTAATTTTATTATATTTATATTTCTACTATTATATTATTTATTATCTTAATGATAATTTATGAGTTCTTTTTCTTATCACTATTTTAATACAAATTTTTGTTTAATCAAACATCTCTATAATATTATTTGAGAAGTCAGTTTCTTATGTGTCGCTCTCACGTTCACTCTCACGATGGTTGATTACATTGATACCCTTACTGAATTAAAAATAGTTAAAATATTAATTTTTTATTTAGTTTTCTTTTCAAAAATTTCCAAAAATATATGTAATAAAAAGGAAATTTTTTTATAAAGTCATAAAAACAAATTGAAAACGAAAAATATATGTATACATAATATGATTTCATATAAATGGAAAGTTCACAAAATAGTAATAATACATTTAAAAATATTTTTATATAATATAAAATATACTTTTAGAGTAATAAAAATAGTTTATAATTAGTATTATTGAATTTATTTATTTATTTTTTCATATATTTAGTTGACTATAATATCTTTCAATTACAGAAAATTATCTATAAATAATATTTTACTTATATCATATTATTTTCAAATACAATCACAATTTTATGTAGTGGTTATTTTTAAGAGATATTAAAAACTAAAAATACATTTTTTTGGGTCAAAACTAAAAATAAATTTAACAATAAACATCATTTGATCAAATAATTTATCATTATTAAAATTATCTTTTTCTTAATATTAAATTTTATTTTGAATTTTAAATTTTTATGTTTGTGAAATTAAATATAACCATAATCAAAATACCAAAGCAAATCTAAATTCCCAATTTTAAGATTAATTAAAATAAATTTCGGTTTACATTCAATAAATCTAAAGCCTAAAGTTTTATTTAGAATTTATAAATATTTTAATTAGTGTAAATATTGATATGTGTTCATGAGGTTCCAAAAATGTATCAATTACTTATGCATGTAGCCTTTTATTGATTATAGGATAACTCAAAACATATTAACAAATGAAAATAAATATTAACCAACTCTTACAATTTTAGTTCTTTAGTAAAATTTATATATATGCATGAGGCTTTAGAATATTATCGTTATATTAATTTACGTATTTTAGAATTAGACACTTTAGTTAATTTTTAATTCATTCTAAGCACAATATATCTTAAGTTATACATAATTTTACTAAAATATATTTACATATTTAAGACAACGTCCACTATATGCAAATAAGTAATTAATAAAAATTAATACATTTCAAAATATTACAGTTGAATTCAGATATGCAATCTATTTTATCCAAATAATAACTAAACCAACCGTAAAAACAACAAAATCGACTAGATATAACATATATAAAATTAAAGTATAATTAAAGTAATATAATATTATTAATACAAATGATACATACAAATTATAAATTAATTTAAAATTGAAACTAAATAGTAATCAATTATTATCATATATTTACTTTAAAAATATTTATACCCGTGCATGAGCACGGGAAAATCACCTAGTAAAAAGTAATATAAAAATATTTTTGTTTATTTTAAATTATATTTAAGAATATGCATGTATATATTTAAAATTATAATCTTAGATAAGTATTTTATCTATTTATTTTAACTAAATATATTAAATAAATTTGTAGAAAATTTTTGTAGAAAATTTTATACTTATCAAAAATTAAAATTAGATAATATTTATTAAATTTTTAAATATATAAGAAATTAATAATTTTAGGATTAAATTTTATTAATTTTCAAAAATGCATACATTTTTGAAATTTTTGTAATAAAATTGTATAGTTTTAAAATATATAATTAAATGATATTTTCGAAATTTTTAATGCCATAGTGTTATATATTGATTTTAATGATGATTTATTAGTTATTACCATATAATTTTTTTAATTTTCAAAAATAGATACATTTTTGAAATTTTTGTAATAAAATTGTATAGTTTTAAAATATATAATTAAATGATATTATCGAAATTTTTAATGTCATATTGGTATATATTTATTTTAATGATGATTTATTAGTTATTACCATATTTAAAAATATTTCCAAAAATATAAATCGACATTAAATGTAATATATGAGTTGTTACCATATTCTATAAAGTTTTCTAAAAATATATATTAATGTTAAATGGAATTATCCATGTCATATTTAATCATATGTCATGTTATCAATTCTAGTAAACATGTCACAATTTTTTTGTGAAACTAATTCTAAAGAGGACATGTGATAAAATTAGGGATTTCAAAAATGAAAAGAAAAATTATCATTTCCAACAGTTTTTTAAATGCATAGAGACACACCGATTCAGCCGAAACGTCGTCGTCTTGTCTTTTTCCCTCTCTCTTTCTTTCCTCTGAACTTGTGTTAACAACAACGCTCTCAGTCAAACGCAACACGCTCTCTCTCTATCTCTTTCTCCTCGCCGGAGCTTAATGATGTGGAACCCCAACGGAGACGACGACGAAGACTTCCAGATCCCTCCTTCCTCTCAGCTTTCCCTTCGGAAACCCCTTCACCCAACCAACGGTTCCATCTCCCACCGTCCTCCCAGGAAGAAGCCCAGACTCAGCCTTAATCCGGGAAAGGAGAATATCGCTCCGGCTCCTGAATTCAGCTCCGACCCATGCTTCGCTTCTGGGTATTACCCACTGAGTCCGGCGCTTCCGGGCGTATCTTCTACTCCTGATTGTGTCCCCTCGAGTATCGATTGCTCGGCAGGAGATTCCGGCGAGCCCTCTTGTTCTCTCGCGGCGGAAGTTGAAAACGACCACGTTTTAGTTGATGGGAAGGAGAAAGGTGATTGCTTTAAGGCGAATCGTGAGGGGTATTCGTGTAATTCGATGGAGGCTAGGCTATCAAAGTCGAGGATTCGTCTTAGGTTTGACGAGGAGGAGGATGAAGGGTTTGTTGAGTCTGACTCTGAGCTTGACTTGTTGATAAAGCTTTGCTCTGAGGGTAACAGTGGAGGAGAGTCTAATAGTATAGACAGAGATGATTTGATTCAGTGTCCACTGTGTGAAACTGATATCTCAGGTTTGAGTGAGGAGCAGAGGCATGTTCACACCAATAACTGTCTTGACAAGGCTCCTGAGCAAGTAAGATTCCTTGTTTATCTGATAAGACTTTAGGGTTTAGTTATGTATTGAATTAACTGTTGAACTTGTAAATTTGAGTGTAGGACTCTTTGACAAAATGCGAAAAGTCTTCTTCTTCTTCTTTAATTGAAGAATCTGTTGATGATCCAGCTCAGCATCCACAGCTAGTTAATGGTCTCTCTCCGGTGCTTAAATGGGTTAGGAGTCTAGGTTTAGCTAAATATGAAGATGTTTTTCTTCGTGAAGAGATTGACTGGGATACTCTTCAGTCACTTACTGAGGAGGTAATGCAATACCTTTATACCACAAAAGCTTTGATAACTATCTTCACCAATGGTTATATTTCTTCAGGATCTACTGAGCATAGGTATCACATCACTTGGTCCCAGAAAGAAGATTGTGAATGCACTTAGCACACTAAGAGAAGAAGCCTGTGCATCTTCAGCTGAAGCGCAGGCACAGTCTCTTTCTACAAGTAGCAACGTTACCGAGCGACAGAGGGAGAGGTCAACCAATCGTAAGGCAAGTGAGCTCAAAAAACCAACTGCCAACAAGTTGATTACAGAGTTTTTCCCTGGTCAGGCTACTGATGGCACGAAGATCCAGAAGCCCCCTAAAGAACCTGTCACAGAAAAGAGTGCAGCAGATTCGGGATGTAGACGTGCTGCTGTGAGAAGAAACGGCAACAACGGAAAATCTAAAGTCGTTCCACAATGGAATTGCGTTCCAGGGACACCTTTTCGAGTGGTAACTCTCCATAACAAGCCTGTCCATGGTTACATTTCGTGTTGTGTGCTGAATGTTTTATGTTTTGTGTGGTGACTTTCTATGAACGCAGGACGCATTCAAGTACCTCACACGCGATTGTTGCCATTGGTTTCTTACACACTTTCATCTTGATCGTAAGTAGTTTTCCCTTCATAACTACACATACGAATCATGCATATCGTGGAATCAATGCTTAAAGACTCAGAGTCCTCATTTTCAGATTATCAAGGTCTGACGAAGTCATTTAGCCATGGGAAGATATACTGTTCCTTAATCACCGCAAAGCTGGTAAATATGAAGATTGGGATCCCTTGGGATAAACTGCAAGTCTTGTACCTTGGCCAAAAGGTTAGTATTTCGGGCGTTGATGTGACTTGCTTTGATGCAAACCACTGCCCCGGATCCATCATGATACGCTTTGAACCAGCCAACGGTAAGGTGAGTTCTTAATCTAGACACTTGCAACATCAGCCTATGTTTAACTTTCCTTTCACAGAATTATATTCCGTGGACTTTGTTGATGTATATAGGCTGTTCTACATACGGGTGACTTCCGCTATAGTGAAGATATGTTAAACTATCTTATTGGTTCTCCTGTTAGCTCTCTTGTCCTTGATACTACATACTGTAACCCTCAGGTTAGTCATGCTTCAAACCATTGTTGACTGCTCTCAGTGATTGCTTTGATACAAATGCCATCATTTGTTGCAGTATGACTTTCCAAAGCAAGAGGCGGTGATACAGTTTGTGGTTGAGGCTATTCAAGCAGAAGCCTTTAATCCAAAGACCCTTTTCTTGATAGGAAGTTACACCATCGGTAATACACTATCTTCTGAATCGATGTTGAGACTGGCGTATCGATGAATCTAAACAACTTCCTCTATTCTGTTGAAAGGAAAGGAGAGGCTGTTCTTGGAAGTTGCACGTGTGCTACGTGAGAAGATCTACATCAATCCTGCAAAGTTAAAACTCCTTGAGTGCTTGGGTTTCTCTAAGGAAGATATGCAGTGGTTTACAGTGAAGGAGGAGGAGAGCCACATTCATGTTGTGCCCTTGTGGACGCTTGCCAGTTTCAAACGGCTGAAACATATTGCTACCCGATACACAGTAAGACACACAACCAAATAAATGTTTTTTTTTTTGGGTGAGCTCTTAGGCGAATGTTATGTGCTGCAGAGCCGATACAGCCTAATCGTTGCATTCTCTCCAACTGGCTGGACATCTGGTAAGTCCAAGAAGAAGTCTCCAGGAAGAAGGTTACAACAGGGTACTATAATAAGGTAAAATGATTCGCGATCTCCAAGTCTCTGTGGTGAATTGAGGCTCAAAATCTTTGTATATGTTTCAGGTACGAGGTTCCTTACAGTGAACATAGCAGCTTCACAGAGCTGAAAGAGTTTGTGCAAAAAGTGTCCCCTGAAGTGATCATACCGAGTGTTAACAACGATGGACCTGACTCTGCAGCTGCAATGGTGTCTATGTTGCTTACTTAAGATCTCTATGTTTTAGCATGCATAGGCCATCATTGGCTACTCAAGTGTGTAACAAAAGGCATGCCTCGAGGGCTACCGATTTAGCAGAGTGTATCAAAGATCGTTAAAAGAAGTAGATAATTATCATGTTCTAATAGTTATAATGTAGCAATATGTAACCCCCACGTGACTGACTATGTATTGTGTTTTTCACAAAAACTCAAACGAGTTGTTATCATGAAATGTTTTTCTCCTATCAGTTTATTTGGCCTGTAAAATTACAGAGATTGAGGTTTTGTTAGATTAAAGAAACAGAGATAAGTATATATAGAACTGAAAAACGATCCATCCACTACAGAGATTGAGACAGTGCCTCTTTGAATGCTCCGAATTTCTAGCTCTTTGAATGCTCCGAATTTCTAGGGTCGCGATCCCGTGAGGATGAGCTAACTCCAAAAATCCGTCCTCAGTTTGGATTGCAGGCTGCAACTCGCCTGCATGTTGGAGTTTGGTCAATGAAGAAAAAAAGGAAAATTTAAAAAATAAATTTTTAAATCAAATTGGTCAAATTGATGCATCATGACAGTGTTAGTGACTTCTTGTGTAAGGAGTTTATTACCTCGAAGAAGCATGAGAAGTGGTGTGTCTTTGTGAGGAGGCTTCTCCGGTTTTTGCTTCAGGAGTACTATGTTATAATTGGCCTTAAGATTTCGTGGAAAATGGCAGTAAGGTAGTTAAATGGAAATATGACGGAGGGTTTTGGAGTAACATACTAAGGAGTGGTGGAAAGATCACCTTGAAGTCGATCAGAAAAAAAAAAACATTTACAAGAAGTTTACAACTGGACTCTGATTGATAGATTGAGATTGGTCTACTTGTGTGTGATAATTGGTGTGGTGATGGGGAGAGATGGGAAGGTGAACATCCCTCATTTGTACATTAAGTTGGTGATGGATCTTGACAAGGTTCGGAATTTTTCTCGGGGTCTTCACTCATATGACTTCTTGCTGAGTTCCATTAATAAGACTGGGCAGAAGTTGGATAACAAGAAGAGCTACATTTTCGAGGGTTTCACCTATGCTTTCCCGATTTGGATTATGGAAGTAATCCCTGATTTTGGATAAAATTTAGGCACTAGAGTGTGTGATAGCTTCATAGGTCTAAGATTTGGAAATTGGAAAGGAACTGCAAAAGTTTCTTATCAAGACATCATTCAGATTAAGGAATTATTTTATGAGAAGATATGTATATTTGTTGTTTTCTTATTTATGGTTGTTGTATATATTTTGTATAGTTTTTGATGTTTTAATTGTATTGTACGGTGAGTTGTTCTCGGTCATTGCATTGAGTGGTAACGGTGATGTGTTTCTACATGCTGACTATACAAGAAAGCGTGAATGAAAGATGAACGAGTGGATCTTCTTCCAGATAGGATCAAAGAGAAGTTTGATTGGAACAACATAAAATGAGAAGTTTTAGAACCAGAAAAAACTGAAATGAAGAAGGACGAGAAAGATGATATTGAGTAAGAAGCTGATGAGATTGCAGATAATACTAATGTTGCACCAGAAGTGGGACCTCTTTGGTTAATGGTTGAAGTAAAGAGAAGAGAAAAATTCATGATGAAGGAACCAAGATAAGAAAGAATAAGTTTTTTTGTAAGCAATAGCGAAAAAAAAGTCTTGATCCTGAAACTAAGCGTTTCATTGAGTGTCTCGTCCACACATCTATCACTTCCTTGGGGGATAAATTTAGTACGCAAATAGCGAGAATGGATACTGATTCGACATAGAGAATGGAGAAGTTGGAGCTTGAGGTTTTCAGGGAATCAATCATTTTGAGGGATGAAAGAAGCGGTCCTAGAAAGAGCAAAGATGAACAAGCTCCACCAAAGAGCAAAGCTTATTAAGCTCCACCTAAGAGCAAAGCCGATCAACCTCCAGCAAAGAAAAATGTACTACCTAGGCGAAAGTGTAGAATTTTATGTACATGAAGTAGGATGCTTGAGTTAGGGTGCTGGAGCTAGGCTTTTGGAGCTACGTTGAGATTTGGAAGTTCACTTTTTCCCTGTGTAATATTATGTAGAAGTTTCGGTTATGCAATGGGACAAGTTTGTGTAAAATCTTTTGTAATGTGTGAAATGGTTTAATGTTTGTGTAATGTAATGCTTTGTTATGATTGAATGGATTCTTATATGTTTTTTTTTGTTTTTTAATGAATAGGATGGAAAAAAGATTGGTGTAGAAATTAATGATTTTGATTTTGGATTGAGTACACAAGAATTGAACGACATATCTCAAAATACATTTGTTGAAGGTTTTTAACCTCTTCATGTCAAATTAAAAAAAACAAGGAAATCAAGACCCTTACGTGATGATAAAATACACCGAGGCGAAGAAGCATCACTAGATGCCACATTGGTGTATGTCCATGAAGAGATTGGGAAAAAGTCATAAGCTGGTCAACTTCCTGCCGTAAGTAAATTCTCATTTTTCTATCATGTATTTTTTACATTTTATTCTAAATGTGTCTTTGTTTTTAGCTTCTTTTGGTATTGGTTTCAGACCTCTACGGATTGAAACTACTCTTTTAGATCGTCAGATGGCTGATTGTCTTATGGATCATAGTGAGTGGCTTCTTTTTTTTTATCAAACCTTACTTTTATAAAATTCTTACTCTCCATGAATGGAGAAAGTGTACGTACATAACAACGAAGGCATCCATGCCAAACAAATAGCTAGTACAAGGAAGCAAATACAACATAGCAAGATAGGGGCATACAAAACGCTTAAACAACTAATGATGTTGAGAAGTCCTCTAATCTCAGCGACCATCGAGCTGTAAAGTGAGATGAAGCCTTGGAAATCAGAGACCACGATCAGTGATATAAATTCCGAGAATGAAGCAGCAACAAGTGCACAATCAACAATCTTCGACATGGCAACAAAGCCTTTGATTAGAACTTCAGTGTTAGAAGTATCTCTAATCTTTAACAATACATTCCCTACACCAAAGCCACATGAAGTAGATGATGAAAGTGGGAGAAGAGCAAATTCCATATAAAGGGAGAGACCGGATAGTAAACTACCTGATTCGCATGATGAGTGGATATGTGAGGCATCAATCCATTAAGCTGCCACTGAGCACAGACGGACTTGAATACCACAATGATGAGACTGCATACTGCAGTAAAGGGACTTCATACTGCAGTAAATGGGGGCACCAAGGCTAGAAACAGAGATAGATCCAAGGAGAGTTCAAAATACCAACCAACGGTATCAACTCATCACCCAATATTAAGTTAAAAATCTCTTAAATAACACTTGGATTAATGGAAGAGTGACGGATATGGAGGTGGGAATCGAGCAACCCATTGTTGAATCAACAAACACAGTGACAAGCATAATGAACTCCAGAGAACCCCAATCAACGCACCAGTAAGGGAACACATTGCATACTACAGAAGACAAGTACTTTGAGACAAAACTTGTGTCAGCAACATACACAAGAGAACTAACATCATCACTTAACACAGGCACAAGATTCAACAAAGGAGTTTTCAAATCAGGAGATTTTGAAAAAAGTTGAAAAGATGTTGTGTCAAACAGCAGAAGAAGCACAAGATTGAACGGTACGTCGGGAGGATCCGGTGGTTTTGGCGGAGAGTGAGCTTCAAGCGGCACAAGGGGAGACGTACACGGTGGCGGATCCGGAGGAGGACGGTGTTGGAGTTGCGACGGAAGAGACAGAGAGCGGAGACCCGACAGAGGAGACTGAGAGTAGAGGCGCGACGGAGGAGTTCGGGACGGAAATGACGAAATCACCAAAGGAGCCATGAGGAGGATTAACTGCTTCATATGACAAGAGGAATGAAGGAAAAGGCGATGTCTTCACGGGAGGGAATCTTCTTCTGCTCCATACATAGCTCAGATGGAAAAAAACAAAGGGAAAAAGATTCAAAGTTTGAATCTAGATCTAAGATCTACAAAGAGAATTCTCTCTCTACATTTGCTCTCTCTCAATGGCGACAGTAAGTGGCTTCATAACAGGGTTTTTAAACTATTAACTTACATTTGTCTGTTACATACATTGAATGTGCTAACATCATCAAAATATGCAGGAGATTAATGCCATAATATAGGTATTCTGAGACAGAGCAACTCTGAACCGATAGATACCTCACTGTGTCACTTTCATGATGGTCGTATTCATAAATATGATTAAAAAGAGTAAGCGATTTGGTAAGCGGGTAAAAAGCGATATACACTTCATAATTTGATACTACAACTCGGCGAAGGGGTCCTTCCACCACATGGAAGAACACACCATATATGGAATGTAGATGTGAATCAGATGTATGCCCCTGTTCATGTCAGTGAGAATCATTGGATCACCTTATGCATCAGTTTTGTAACCAGGCACATTGATGTCTTTGACTGCTCGGGTAGTAAAAGATACAAGGAGTTGGATGCGTTCTCGCACCTTGTTCCTCGTATTGTCAAGGCAGTTCAACCAACGAGATACCAGAAGGATTTCACTATCAATCCATATACTGTTACCTATGTGCCAATGGGGAAATTGAATAAAGGTGCATGTGATTGTGGTGTCTATGTACTGAAGTTCATTGAATGCTATTTGCTTGAGTTGGAGTTGGAGTTGTCCTTGGTGAATGACGCTAACATCAAAGAAGCTCGCTACTGAGTTTTGTGGAATCTTTAGGAAGCAGCTAATGACCCAGAATTTGTTGACAAGATGTCAACATATGAACCTCCAGAGTGTATGTCTTCGGTTTATGAGGAGATCACGTAAGAATAATTATGATTGTTATGTAAGCAATTCAATTTTAAATTCTGGTTTTTATGTTTTTTAGAAACAATAATGCTGGTATGCCTAATATAAACTAGACAGTTTGTTTTTAATTATGATTTTAAGTAAATTGTTTAGTTTTATTCTGATTTTAAGGAACAAGAATGTAAACATACCATGAACCAAACCATAACTCTAAACACATCCTAAATGACCATAACCCTAAACTACCATAAAACTAAATAAACCTTAAACGAGACTCTAAACATACTCTAAACAAAGCCATAACCCTAAACGAGGACATAAGTAAAAAAACAATATTAAACACAACCAAAGTCTTCCCTGAAATAATCAAAACACTATTCTATAGAAATTAGGGTTATCAAATCATTTTGACTAATGATATTATATAAACACTAGGGTTATCAAATCAGTTTGACTAATGATATTCATCCATTAGAGTACAAATCGAATGAAATGCAATACTCTTAACTCGGTATCTCGTAAACCCGACTTAGTATCCAACACAGCCATAAAACCCGACCGAAATTAGATCCACAAATAACCTAATACCCGACATATAAGACTACAAGACTCTTTTGTTCCCATTTTCAGATAACCTCCTTTCTGTCTCTCTCGGTTTTCTCTTTGAATATGTTTCTCCCAAACATGAGTAATGCAAGGCGATTGTCACATGTAGTGCCATCTAGGTTCTGGTGTGGGAAAAAGGATGTGATATTCTGTACGAGAACTTATGAGAATCAGTATCGACGGTTCTATAGATGCGAGATATGGGCACATGTTCATCGTTTCAATTTGTTTTGTGATTCAAATACCGATTTGTTTTGTGTTCACATCTTATATTTTTTTTGTTTAAGAGTTCCTTCAGATCTTTGATATTTTTTTCTATTCGATTTTCAATTTTTCAGTGCAGAGAAGAAGGAAAACCATTTTTCTTAAGTGGGTTGATAAGGCTTTTCTTAATGAGATTCGAAGGGTCAAGGCTCAGCAAGTAATAATTGGAGAAGAGATTGAAGATCTCAAACAGAGCTTGAAAAAGATAGTGGAGGAAAAATTTAAGAAACAGAAAAACTTGAAGTAGGTTGTTAAGGAAGCATTCTATGGTTTTTCAGAAAATTTAGAAGCCAAGAATGAATGAATCAGTCTACTGGTTCTTTGTATTTCATCTCTTAGTGTTTTGTTCGTACTACTGCTTTGACGATTTTCTTGTTATTAGTGTTTTGTTCTTACTATGCATAAGACGATTTTGTGGTTTTAGAGTTTTGTTCATACTTTTTTGTCTACGAAACTAAAAACATCATTGCAAAGAATATTGGAAACATGATAGTAATGTATAATAATGACACTGAAAACAACCTTCAAAGATTTTAGAACCAAAAAGCATATGAAAATGATAGCAATGTATAACAAAGAAACTGACTACTGATAATAATCCACTACTTGGACTTCGAAATAAGCTGCCAGTACCACCACTTGCACACTTGAAAGTGAAGCCTGTAACAAAAGAACAATGCTTGAAACACATATAAATCGAGCATGAAACACACATAAAACCGACTATCTATATAAACTGACCCTTACCATTGTGACTGACAACATTGGTACTTTACAAGTTTCCCTGTCGTGCCCCCTAATACCAGATATACTACACTTGCGAGGCTACTTCTTTTGTGATGTCTGCGATGAGCGAATTTTATCTTCAACGGTTTTATATCTGTGTTTTCTTGTCTTTCCAATTTGTTTTCTTGTGTCCGGTGATATCACTTTGACTTTCCTAACATCTTCTGGTATGGACCAAGCATCCTCATGTCAAATACATCAAATCAGTCAATGTGTGTGGCTCTCTATCAACATGAAAACCAGCTTTGATTACGTGTCTATAGTTTTCGCTGAAACAATGTTATCCCCTTTGCTTTTGCTTGAAGGTTCACATGTATGTTCACCGACATACTTTTTGATAATGAAATATGTAGATACCATTAAACTCTCAACTCGAACACTCCAATAGCAGCCATTATCCCCGCATCTAACATACCAAACTTTTTGATCCGATTTGATAACCTGGTAGGCAAAGTTATGCTTCATTGCACATATCTCAAAAGTCGCCTTTAACAATTTTCTGTCTTGAAAAAGTTGTCCCTTCTTAACAACATCGAGCAAATAATACTTATATTGTATTGCTTCTCTTTCGCAGAGATCATGGCATCAGCATCAAAGGTAGGCTTACCCATCAGATTCGATATATTCCATCTTTTCTTTCTTTTTCTTGCTATGCATCTCAGTAAAAACGAGTTTCCCTCCTCTTCAGTAGTACTTAAATCTGTTGGTGATTTGTTGATGTGTTGTGTTTTTAACACTTTAAAACTCATTTTAGAACAAAGAATGATCAGTTTTTAAAGGTATTTTGGTTTTCTAGATGTCTTTTGTTGTTCTTCAATATAAATTACAGGTTAGCTTGTGGGGAAAAAACTTATTTGGAGAGGATTTTGAGGCAAATTGGACCACTTGATGAATATAGTGGATTTGCAACACAGATCACCTAATCCATGGTATATGGATCGAGCAAACCATGATAAAGATCGACCGTTCCGCATTGTATATATTTGTAGCGCTGCAAATTTCCAAGTTTGCCAAGAGTCGCGTTTTGAAGACCTAAAAACTGAGATTTTTCTGTTCTTTTTCATTTATTCTTGTTTCTGACGGCCGGAGAGAGTTGATCATTTCGTAGACTTTTGGAAGAGGAATCTTCTTGTACTCATTTGGAGAAGATATTCTTAACCTTTTCTCATTTTCAATACAATGTTTTGATGTTTTCTTCTGTAGTTTTGTTTTGTTATTGTTTGGATATGAGTGAGTAGTCTTCTAGTCGGGTCAATGGATTCTCGTTCGGGTATATCTCTATGTATTGATCTAAAAACTGTTATACTAGGTGTACATCCAAAATCCACATTCTGTATTTTGTAGAGATCGAGAGTTCAATCAGGGGAAGACAAAGGATGTGTGCAACGATGCTCTTAAATACAACGATATAGTCGGACATCGGTTGACAAAAATGGATTTTTATTGAATATGGAATTTGTTTACAAGGTGATGAACAAGATCGGAAATAACAACAAAGGGCATAAGAAAGCGAACTAGAAATCTAAAGAAATGAGATCGATGTGATTAAAGAATAGCTCTAGGGTTTTTCTCGTATCGTTGAATGTCATTCTAGCTCTCTTTTTATAGTCCATTCATCCTCTAACCGTCTCCTGGTAATCCTGATGAGTAATATTGATTATGAATAATAATGGTTCATTTTTTTCATTTCGCTTTGAGTGTGCGACATTTTAGTACTTTCGTGGTCGTAGATCGACTACGATTGATATTGCGTCAATAAGTTGTGTTCAAGTAATATTTTTAATTTTATAATGCGCCATATTTTTAATGGGATCCTAACTGTTTCCGTAGACTTAATCAGGGTATCTTCATGCCGTTAAATCGAATTTGAGAAGATGAGAAAGTACTTTTCTTTATTACTTATAGATGATTCTTTTTGGTATACAACTTTACATTATATATTGGAAAAGGTGTGCCCGTACAGATAGGTTCTTTTCCCTTTCTGGTTTGATCTCTTTGTGTTTGAGAGGGGTGACTGAACTATCGTGAGCTGTCTACGTACCCTCGTCGAGGGATCAAGTCTAACGTAGTTCAATTATTTTCCCAGTGGATTGGGTCGTGTTTTTCAATCTGTCCATGCATGTGAGTGCGATTCGTGTTCTCCTCATAGCTTCTTCATCGATCTTATGGACTCAGCTTGATAAATTTGAAGCTTGATAGGTAGCATGTTCTGGATCTATTTTGGCTCCCTCTTATGGTTTGAATTCCTTTTGGTGTAGGGAACTTCACACATTGATGGTAAGTTGAGGTTACTGCTTTCATGTTGTACAGCCACGGTATTCCAATGATGGTGTTAAATGGAGCGGATCGATCTATGACGATGAATTCAACGATCTTTCTTACGTCCCCAGTGGTCACAGCAAACTCGATGGACCCAAGAGAAAAGGTAGTTTCTCCTGAAAATCCGGTTAGGGGGTTCTTTCTTGTTTAAGAAGTGTCTTGGTGAATCCCATTCTTTGAAATGCATCGTAAAAGAGTATGTTTGCAGAGCTTCCGGTATTAACCATGATTCTGGAAAATTCGCATCCTCCGACGTCGAGTCGCATGACGAGTGCGTCGTCATGTGGTCTATCGAGGTCGACAGTTTCGTTTTCATCAAAGGTGATTTCATGTTCGGGACCGAAAAAAGGCTCTCGTATACCAGCGCTGCTTTCGGCTCTTTGTTGGTGGGCTTTGATGGAATTGACTGACTTGCAGAACTTTGATCCTCCATAAATGAAATCATTTTTTTTTCCTTTTTTCTGGTGGTGCGTCGGAAATCTCCATTTTTTGGTCAGTGTCGGCTGGTGGTGTCCTTGCCCCCCAGACAGGTTGGGTTTGAGTAAACGCGGGATGTACTGTTTTTTATGTATCGGTTTCTCCAGTAATCTCTGGATTTTACTGAATTTGTTTCCCCCTTTGGGGTCGTCGTGGGGTTTGGTTGTTCGTCTGAGGGGAGGAGAACATGTCGTATCGACCTCCGCGGGGCCTCGTATCGTCATCGTGATGTCGATGCTTACGCGTTCTTTGGTCTGATTTGGCACTTTTTTATGTTCGGATCCCCACAAGATCATGTCGACTCTTTTCTTTGGGGCGGGAGGTGGTTATTCTGGTGCTACTGGTCTGGTCTCTCTACCTCTTTTACCGTTGCTCTTTGCTTTTGGGGTCGTCGGGGTCTCTTCTTCTTCTGCGTTCTCTCCAACTTCTTTGTTTTCTTCCCTACTGCGGAGTGCGGCACGAAATTCTTCAGTTGAATGCTCTTTTCATTTGTGGAAGGGAGAGTATTTGATTGGGTCGAACGTGGACTGTTTTTTCTGCGACGACGAGTCTATGGCGTAGGAATGTTGTCTTTTGGTGGTTTGCTCTTTTGGAGTACTGGGCTTTTTACTTATTCTTTTGTTGGCGTGGTATTGTTATTTTAAGGCCGTTATCTCCTCTTCGAGGGTTGCGAAGTATGACGCGCGATACAACGCATCGTCAAGTGATGTGGGAGCTCGACCGTCATTTCTTCCCTAAACTTGGAGGAAAACCAGACTACGTTCTTTAGAGCTACCAGCGCAACAACTTCGTTCAGGCTCGATATCTTGGACTTTAGTTCTTTGAACTTATTTATGTAGGTCCTTAGTGGTTCGAAGGGTGCTTCTTTGAGGTCCCACAGGTCTGCTTCGGTGGCATGCGTCTCAATAAACACTGAATATTGCTTCAGGAATGCTGATACGAGTTGGGTGAAATCGTCAATCGAGTTTCCTTCGAGCCCGGTGAACCATTCTAAGGCGGAACCCGTGAGGTTCTCAGCAAAAAAATGGCAGTAGCCCGCTTCTCTTTCCTCGTCGTTGAGATGCGTCTTGATACGAATAACCGAAAGGCCCGCACATGCGCTTTTGGATCGGAGTTTATTGAGTATTGGGGTAATTTTATATTTCCGACATCGTGTAACCTTACACTGGTTATTTGATTTGTAAATGAAGTTCGGCGGGTCTCCTTGTTGACCTGATCGATATCGGGGGCCGAGCTCATCGCTAGGTGTACGATGGCGTGTGTCTTTTTGAGCTCGGCGACGTTCTTTTCCACGTAACTTTTGAATGATCCTGCTTTGTTTGGGGACCTTTGGTCATACTCTTGCAGGTTCTCGTGCATTGATCTGAACGGGTTTTATGTCGAGACGGGTTCTGGATGGAATGTGGGTCTCGTTCGCTGGAATACGTCACCCCCGAACAAGAATCGTTCATCTCGAGTTCGATGTTGTGGTGCGGTCTTTTCTGCTGGTCTATTCCGAGTTGAGATCTGGGTCGTTCTGGAACCATGTGTTCCACTTTTGACCTCCCCTTGACCATCGTAGTCTAGGCTTCGATAGATC